TCATTGGACACAATTTACCTCTATACAAAAGTGCTTCGGTTAAAAAATAAACCCATTTTTTCAAATTATTTAAGAACCTTTATTACGATTTGAATGAGATTTGGGGTGTCTATGTTTTGGTAGGTGCTTTAACATTTGGCTTTCACAAATATCAAGAAAAAGTACGGGAAGGGTAAAAACTATCCCCACCCCTATATAAATTTTAGTAGAAATATTTTCCAACTCCACCGACAACAGATTTTCTTTTCGTAAAATAATCCTTCTAGTATTTACTACATTTTTGTCTCTTGTAGAAAAACGCTACTTCGCATAGTTTTTGAGAAAAACATTTTTGAAAATTTTGTTTTTCCAAAGCAGACCTCCAAGATATACAGGGAGTCCAAAATTTTTCGGACTCCTTCGAAAAATCCCTCCAAATATTTCGTGGATATAGAACAACTACGTATTTTTTGGATCAAAATACGTTTTTTTTAGAATTAGTGGGAGGGGGGTTAATCACTGCGACCTTACAGATCTATTGTGTCCCCCTTTTTTGAGTTATAACTCATCATACAGTCCCAGGGCTTTGACAAAAGCCAGTATCTGGGACGGTTTTATAGAGGGTAGTTCTCCATCTCCAATATCAGTCGTACCAAAATTCATGGCACGAATGGTTGTCGTCTCGGCGCACTCAGTGATGAGGTGTACTGGTGTTTCCCCATCTTCCTCACAGAATCTGCATTCGCCATTTCTTCTTAGTTTCAATCTACTGAGGTGTTCATTGAGGAGACAGTGTCCTGTTAAAAACCCCGTGACAATCCGAAGATTGTTCTTACTTAAACCCAGGAACATCTGTGATTTTTCTTGATCATAAGCCCTTAGAAACTTCTTCGAGTGTCTTAGACCGTTGCAAGATTCCCATTCCAGGTTGCGGATGGAATCTTCCAAGTTCTTGAGTTCCGCCTTGAGTTGGTTACCACTTGGAAAGCAGAACGGTTCTGGTCCAGCTAGTGGAGTGTTCGCTCCTTTTCTAGCTAGATTATTTGCTTTTTCATTGCCTTCTATCCCTTGGTGAGCAGGCACCAAGAGTAGGAGGACTTTGTTTTCTTTGCCTAATTTATTCAGCTTCTCTATGCATTCTTTGACCAATTTCGAATTGATTGATACTGAATTTCGAATTGATTGATATTGAGTTGATACTGATTTAACGCTGCTTGACTATCAGACAAGATGGCTATTTCCTGTTACCGATAGTTCCTATCTAAGATAAGTTGTACGCATCTTTCGATAGCGTAGATTTCTGCCTGTAGGATACTAGGGTAAGTGCCCATTAGTTCGGAGTATTTAGCTCTCGACCCAAATACTCCGATCCCTGTTCCCGTATTGGTTTTGGAAGCATCAGTATACCACGTTATGGTATGGTCTTTTAACTGCTGGGCAAGCGTTTCGCTCTTCCAATCCTTTTTATTGCTCAATACTACATTGAGATGTTTCTCAAAGTTGGACGTTCTTGGCATATCGTCGTATTTTTTGGATCAAAATACGTTAATTGCACGTAATTTTCCTTTATACAAAATTGCTTCGTTTGTCCGTTAGCGGGCATCAATCAAAAATAAACCCGAACATTAATTAATTTAATAATTTATTATTATTTTTAACATTGGAAATGTTCGTATATGGGGCCCAAATTTCGAGTTTTCTTTCAAGCATTTCAGAACCGGTGTCGCACTAGCCGCAGAGTTGACCAAATTAAAGCATCAAAACTTAGTCGCGTGATGCCTAATGAACTGGCCTGACAGCACGAAACTCTCGGCGATATACGAGGTTTAATTTTGTTAGTCCCGACAATATTACTTGACGACTATGCTACGGGGGGCGATTATAAAATTGAATAGATTGATATTGATATTTACAAAGGTTACAAAACAGTACTATTTTCGTAATTTTTGATTTGGGTTTTGACAATTATTTATGTTGTTTGTAAAACGATATTTTTATTTATGTATTGATATATTTCAGAAAGGATTTAAGTATTAAAAGATATAATATATTTACTTAATTTCAAGGTATCTGTATGAAAAATCATAACGTTAATTATGTTTTATATGTGGTGTTATCATTTCCAATGTGTTTGATGGTTGCAGCGATTGCGAAATCTGTGAGTTTTTAAGCTGTTTATGAAACTTATTGTCAAATATAATTTGTGATGTTAATATAAAATTCCATATTTTCGCCGACTAGATTATTAGAGCATAATAGATTTTATACGCCTCCACAGCCTGATGAGCCTGATGTGACAAAAAACATGTTTTATAAGTCAGCTTTTGAAAAAAAAATAAATCAGAAAAAATTCCTCAAAAAGTATGCACGGTAGCGTTTTCTTTACAAGAGACAAAATATGTACTAAATATAGGGACATTTTACGAAAAAAGAATCGGCCTTCGGTGGAGTCGGAAAATATTTATACTAAAATTTATGTAAGGGTGGGGGTGGTTTGACCCTTCCCGTAATTTTCTTGATTTTTGTGAAAGGCAAATGCTAGGGCACTTAGCAAAACATAGACACCCAAAATCTCATAAAAATCGGAATAACAGTTCTTAAAATATCTGAAGAAAATTGATTACTTTTTTAAAGCTTGATGCCCTCTAGCGGATAAACGAAGCACTTTTGTATAGAGGTATGGTATGTATAGAGTATTGGGACGTCCTGTATAATTAGTTACAAGATATTACTTTTAAACTTTTTATATCACTTGCAACGTTTGAAATGGTTTAAAAAGTTATTTATGGCGGTCGAAAAAAATAGCATACACTGTTCAGGGAAGTCGCTTAAGGTGTGATTTCCCAGCGACGCCGACACGACGCACAGTGCTTCGAACATATGGCTCTAGAGGACAAAAATTCAAAACTTCTCTTTTATTGTAAGCAATTTATTCAAACTAGGTTTATTTGACACAAATGATGAGTACTCTCATTGTACTAAATGATGATGTTCTTAGTCCCACGTTTATGAAAAAAAAATCTTATAAATAATAATAATGTTGGAGCTGGGTTCCATTTAAGCAAATAATAATGTATAGTATGAAAACGGTGTAAGTATTAAATAAATCCCTGTGATAAAAAAGAATTGAAATAACATTATAACATGATTCCTACAATATAAGCCTAATATAAGAAAAAAATGTTTTTCTTTAATGAAAAAGAAACATTAATGTTATATTCAATTAAAAAAAAAACTTAAGATACTATAAATTTACTTTAGGACAACAAAATGCATAGATCGTAACTACTCTGATTCAGGAGAATCACTGCTGACAGAATCTTCCAAATTTATAGTATCCAAATCACAGGTAGATGAAGTATCCTCACATATAAGATATTTCTGTACATCATTTTCTAATATGTTACTTTTTCGCGTTGTTACTGTTCATTTTGTCGGTATGAGGGGTTCGGATGTTAATAGTTACCTCTTTAATAGACCATATCCATATATTATTTTTTCCTTTTCTTGGGTATGAGATTTTATAATAAATTGAAAGATGGACACTTTTTTTATGCGACGTTTCGCTCCAACATAGTGGACTTTTTCAGGCACAAGTGGTGCCTCATTTGACTGGAAGGTTCATCAATATCTAATAAGAACGTATTTTTTGAAATACAAATAATTTTGAGTTCTTGTCCTTATGATCAAGCCAAGTATTAGCCAGATCGGCATTGCTTATCAATTTTACTCCATCTGAAAAGTATTATAAAATATGGCAACAAAAATATTCAATAAATACGATATGTTTTGATATGTTTTTTTTTAAATGCCTTTTTGAAGTTTGAAAACGTAAAATTTTTACACCCATTTAAGAATCATCTTAAAAAATAAATAAAAACTAAACAATCACGAACTTGTTTAGAAATAAATTTAAAGTGCATACCTTGTTTAACAATATCCATAGTGGCTTTCAATTAAGTACGTACCCGTTTAACTCCATAATATACAGAACTACTATGAATGTTATTCTTTTCACTGATGAGATAATGATCGCAAAATTAATTTTTAGTGAAAATATTTGCTAACAAAAACGCTGTTTATGAAAAATAATATACAGGATGGTTGAACATTGCTATAAGTATAAAATTATATATTCAGATATTAGTAAATTTTAACTTATTTTTTGATTTTTGTCCATGGGACGAAGCACTGTGCGATGTCCGGCGGCGGCGGCTTGCCGCGCAAGGAATCATTTCACTATAAAGCGATACATTACTTTTCACTGATATAAAATATTTTGTATATTGTACCGTGTGTCCCACTAAGAATAGCTCTCGGCTGTATCTCGGAAAGTATTAGCCATAGGGGCTGCGGAAAAAAATATTTATAAATAAAGAGGCTATGAGAAATTGCTGGAAATTATTTTCAAATTTGTAGAACGACCGCTAGGGGGCGCAACTGCAACAAAAAATAAGAAAATGGAGTTTTTACACAAGACAACAAAGCAATGAAATATTTGAATGTCCGGAGTGCGGTAGACAGATAACCGTAGCGGGATATAATATCATGTAGCGGGCTTTTCAGCCACAGAAAAGCTCATGAAAGAAAACGCCTTCCGTGACCATCTTCTGATGCGTGTCTAATACAGAGGGAAGGTGGAGGATACATGATTCGACTGAAAATCAGATAGATTTGTTAGTAGATACCAATTTTGGGAGCACTTGTTTCCATGGACTGAATTAGAATCTTGCTAATTAACTTTGAAATCTTACTTATTAACTTTAGTAGTTCCCATTTAGTATTATTGAATGTTATCACTGTGGTTTTAGATTACGATCAAAACAATCTCAAATACTAGTCTTTATAAAAATAATTAAGCAAGTTATGTTTTTTTTAAATAAATCTAACACAAATTTTGATACATCTCAGATCAGATTATGGGAGGGGAGTAGGTCGAGACAAATGCCACGAATGTTACCAGTGGAAGAGGGCGGAATCCTCAAAAAGGGTTCCACCTAATTATTTTAATTAAGTCTTACCGATTTCGAAAAGAAGGCCTTCTTCGTAATTTCGCGGCAATCGTATACTAGGAGGAGCTTCGACGGTCAGTCTGGCCTTGCTCGAAGCATGTCCAGCTCTGTTCGTGGCTGTGCATTTGATCTCGCCCTCGTCGGATAGCGAGGTCTGGTGAATGGTGAGAATGCTTCGGTCGTGCTCGGTTAGGATTCGGATTCGTCGGCTGCTGAAGATCTCGAAGCCGTCTTTGAACCAACAGACCTAGAACGAAACATTTAGAAGACTTATGGACATTGATTAGATAATTAAGGAATTTATAGAACTGAAAAAGCACAAAAAAATAGTGATGGAAAAATCGCATTATTACAATAATCGAAATATCAGGTTATGACTGATTTCAGTAATCGGTTATAATCATCACTCATCTTCTTCTTCTTAAAGTGCCATACTCTATACAAAGCGTCGGCTACCTCTCACATGTACTTGTGATGTGTGTCATCAGTGTTTCACAACTACACGGGACCTACACTTTATCGCCGAATCCGAACGGCACTATTTGAGAGGCTGTACAAAGCAAATATACTCAAGGTGGTTTGTCATTGCCTTCCTTGAGGTGACGGCTCGCTGATCGCCTTTAGATAAATCGATATTTTTATTTAAATAAATTGTGACGACTTTTCTGTCGTTACCCGAATAGAATGAAAAAAGAATCCGTTGCTCAGGGTTAGAGGAAAGCTGGGTTCGTAGGTAAGGCTTCTGACTCACAGTGACTTTCTAATGTTGTTAAATATTAAAATAAAAAAATGATGATATATATAGGCTGCAGAGATTTTAATATTGATGTTAAGAATTCAAATAGGTATGGTCAAAGACAGTGAGAAGGGCGCCACTTACTTTGGTTATGAGAGTGGTAAAGTAAGAAACCAAAAAGAAAAATACGATATCACAACATAGCTGAAATAAAGTAATCAACAGCATTAAGGGTTTAAGGTTTATCAGGAATAAAAGTCAGAAATAACTATCCTACATTAAACATTTATTGAAAACAAACACAAGTATCATCAATTAGTCACAGTGATCCCAATAAAACCGCAAGTTATTTTAAATAGATTTGAATTTAGTAACTGTATTCTTTGAACTAAGTAAGCTACTTAATAAAAACAGGTGAAATTTATGTATGTCTCAATACGATGATGTTTCGAAACATGTCGTGTACAAAAACTTTTAAAATGAATACGTGTTAATAATTTTCATATAAAATATCATAGCTAAGTAAGAGTGTACTGTACGAATCAAATTATAACTTATAACGTTAAATAAAAAATAATTTTGACTACAATATGTGGGATAAATAGTGAAAATTTACCAGGTTATTAAATCTGTTGTCTCAAAAATTATAAAATAAAAGCGTACCTTGTGTATCAAACTTAAGAGAGAGAGAGACTTATCTGTATATATAGTTTCTTATGATGTAAACAGGTAGTTAGGTATTCTCCAGACTAACAGAAGTGGATGCAGATGACTATGGCAGGAGAAGTCTTCGATATCAGCCAAAAGAACGATTGTAATGTCAGGAACACTGTCTTAAGGTCTGCATAGGTCCATTCAAAATGAAAGTGGGTGAAACATACAATAATTACTGCATACCATGTGGTAATTACTTAATATCATGTGGTTGTTTTACTTAATATCATGTGGTAGTTACTCTATAAATAAAAAATAGTTCTCAGGACAGATACTCAATAAAAGAAACAACTTACGGTCTGAAAATCAGCTTTACATAAATATATTCAAACCATATGCCGATCCAAACCAGTAATTAAATACTCAAATAAACGAAATAAAAAACGGAAATAACTGAAATAAAATTTAGTTAGATAGGGCTATATAAAATGGCGGATAAACTTACGGTGATCATTCCAAGAAGAAACCAAACAAATACGATCTATACTCTGGATTGCATACTTTACAAGGTTTTCAAATCTCCAAATCGGATACCCATGCAATCGAAATCGAACAGTGGATTCAGAGTGCTTTTCACTGGAAAATTTGTCGGACGCCAAAACACGCGTCTTCCTCAGATCCAAATTCCCAGAAAAAAGACCTTCTTCTCAGTTTCAGAAACGAAAACAAAAAACCCTTTTTACCACAGACAAGTGAAATGCAATTAAGGAAGTTTGGCATATAGCGAATAGATGGCGCTAATAAACAAGACAAATGAACTGTAATAAATGAAGTTTGACATCTAGCGGATAGATGCGCTAATAAAAATTAAATATCGAAACAAGTGAGCTGTAACAAATGGAGTTTGGCATCTTTGGCATCTAGCAAATAGATGGCGCCAATACTAAGACATTTAAATAAAAATAGATTTTTAAATTCAATTTTATTAAAGGGAATAAAAAATGCTACAAAATAAAGCGACCGTACTGGCTATCGATCGATGCCATTCATAGACCCAGAAACCTTCTGTTCCACTGTAAAAGCAGTCAAAAGAATTGACACAAAACAAGCTAACCAAGGTGGCCAAAATGCCGAGCAATTTACCAGAGCAGAGACAGGTTGAAAAGTTTACAATAGAACACTAGCCAAAATTTACGACAGACCTGATAAATAACGACAGAAAAACTGTCAAAACTGTAGTGGGTTTACCAAGATGGCTTAAGAAATTAAGTAAACTTAATAAGCATCTAAAGTTGATGAAGTTGACGAAAGAAGCATCGTGTGCAGATTTTGTCAATCTGAAGCAGAAAATATTAAAGAAACACATTTTATGTCAATACGACAACCTGGTACGTGCGGTTCTTAGCATTATTCTTAGAGCTGCTTAAAACTAAACTAATCAAATCTTGACCCTGTCTGTTAGGCTAATTTTATCTGTAAAATGTGTAAATGAGTCTTTAACATCTGGTGTTTGTTTGGTTATTAAGATTACGATAATTAAGATTCTCTTAAATCAGATCTGAGCTTATCAGCGATTTTACAATCTGACTTATGTACCTTTCCTTTCAAATTTCCCCATATTCAACAAGTTCTCCATCAAAACTTTACTAAACACTTCTATTATTAGAGAACAACCTTGTCAATCAACAAGAAGATGTGATCTCAATATCTAACAAACCGAAAATTCAAACAGGAGACTTCAATTCGTAAAGCGAGCGACCGTAAAGTAAAAAAGCGGCCAAAAAAAGATACACTTTAGGGACGTTAATAGATCCGTAAAACTTCATTTTTTGTGACACTAGCTTAAAAAATAATTAACTTAATTCACGAGCAAATTGTAACATAACTCCTTTATCTTCATCAGCTATCGAAACTCTAGAGGTATGTGATTTTGTAGTGTATAAATATTATTATACCCTGTACATAATAGTTTGGATATAAGTATTATGTTTAGAATTAGTTGTTTATATAATATTAGGAATGCAACTATGCATTATTGGATGTCGCGCGATATGCTAATTAGGGTTAACCGAATTCAATTACTATTAAGATTTACACAAGAACAGATTGTACTAGTTATTAGAAATAAAGTTGTTTTTTATATAGTCTTAGAGTTTCCTTCAGAGCATGTAATTGCGAACCCAAATAAGAACATTACATGGCGATCCTGCCATTGCATGCTTTGGGGATATTTTAGGAAGACTATGATATAAAAGAATGGGGCATAATCAATCCAAAGAGGAAGTATTTATTAACCAAGCCGGCAACAGTGGTGGCGTTAGCAATGGTATGGCGAGTGGTTTTTCACTAAGTTGGAGTGAAATTTTAGGAATCATCTCCTTCTGTCTAGTTTTGGCAGTAGTTTTTGCGTATGGATACCAAAAATTAAAGAAAACTTTGGAGAGGAAAATAAGATCCGAAATTAGAAGGAGTCAAGAGCTAGTTTAGTTTAGTAAGTAGTAATACGGGATTTAAAGTTAGTTATTATGAGTTGATTTTAGATTTTTATGAGTAGTGTAAATTTAGAAATAGTTAAGGAATTGTACGTGATCGTCAAAAAGTTTCTTGAAAAAGTTACTTAGGAACCGGAAGAGAGACGGGGAAATTTAGAAAGAAATAATAAAATATTATCTGAATTAGTCAGAATATTTGAATTAGAATTATTAGAAAAGCAATTTGGTAAACTAAAAGAAGGATGCAGTCCAGAAAATATTGACAAAAAATTTAAAAAATATTTTGAGGCAACAAATCAAACTCTTTTTCGAGCCCGTACAATCCTAACTAGTAGAATAAAAAATTGTGTAGTTATTAAGAATAGTAGTGTTAAAAATATTGAAAATATGGGTGAAAAATTTGATTTACGCACAGCAGCGTCCTTGTTACCCTCTATGAATGGGTCTGAGGAGGCTACTAAACAATTAATTGATGCCATCGAATTATATAGCGAACTTTTAAATCAATCCAGTAGACCTTTGCTAGTTAAATATATTTTAAAGGCCAAATTAAACCAAAACGATAAGTGCAGGTTAAATAAAGCTTATAATAGTGTTGTTGATTTAATTGAAGACATGAAAGGTTTCTTACTTGCTAAAAAATCTGTATCGGCTTTATCCACTCAATTGTATTTTGCGAAACAAGACGGCAAATCTATCGATGAGTACGCGGAGTCTATCGAGAAGCTTATGGTTGATTTAACTTTAACTCAGGCAAATAATGACGATGATGCTTTGTCAGTCTTACGAGGAGTAAATGAGAAAATCGCTATCAGTACATTTGCAAATGGTCTTAGAAACGCAGAATTAAGAACAATTATTAAGTCGCGAAATTACCAAACATTAAATGATGCTATTGTCGGGGCTAAGGAAGAAACCTGTTCAAATAACGTTAGTCTTCTTCAGTTTATCATATTAAAAATAAGCAAAATTATAATAGGGGATATTACCAGGGTAATCGTGGCAGTCCGGTGCGAAAATTTAATCATGGATATAACAATAATTTTAATAGGTCAAATTTTCATCAAAGCCGACAAAATTACAATAAAAATAACACTAATAATTATCGCGGTAATATGACCCATAATCGTGGTTAGGGTCGGGGACGATTTCCAACGCGTCGAGCGTATTTTGCAGACGATGCAAATAACACACAGGAGCGTCGCGACGAAGTAAATAATGATCAGGCGGTTTTTTCGTTCCTCACAATAAAAATAATAATTCCAATAATGCAATAAGTTTTAATATAAATTCACTAAATTACATTTCTGTTTTATATGGATTAAATAAGATAAAACTTTTAATTGATACCGGGGCTAGTATTAGTTGTATTTTTACTGAAAGTTTAAATGACTGTGAAATTGTCGATACGACTAGGAAAATTAATGTTAAAGGTATTGTTAGTTCTACTTTAACTAAAGGAACTGCAAATATTGCATTAAAAATAAATTCTTTTCTATTAACTCATTCATTTTCAGTTATTAATAAATTCGATAGCAATATACATGGTATTCTAGGTTCAGATTTTTTATCTAGTTATGATGCAATAATTAATTATGAAAATTTTTCCTTATCACTACATACCGAACATGGAACTGTTTCAGTTCCTTTAGAGTCTCAAATAGACAATTATCTTATTATACCTCCTAGATGTAAAATTATAACTTTCTGCAATACAAGTCATTTTGAGGAATGTATTATTTTGAATGAAGAATTGTGTGAGGGAGTCTTGTTGCAAGTACAATTGTTAAGCCAGTAGAAAATAAAATTCCAGTGAAAATTTTAAATGTAAATGAGAAGGCGGTTAAAATTAGAAATTGTTGTCCAAAAGTTGAGAATTTTGCTGAGTATGATGTGTGTAGCTTTGGAAAAGAACGAATTTCAGTTGAGAGAGTCGATAAAATTTTAGATTTGATAGATACAAGATCATTAAATAGTGAAGAGAAAACATCGGTAGATAAAATTTGTGCTAAATATGCAGATATTTTTCATTTACAAGGTGACTATTTATCAGTTACAAATCTTTATAAACAAAAAATTTGGTTGCAAAAGGATGCAAGTCCTGTTTTTGTAAAACCTTACAGGCTTCCGCATGCGCAGAAAGAAGAAATTCATTCTCAAATAGACAAAATGTTGTGTGACGGTATAATTGAGGAAGCAAGGTCTGAATGGTCTTCGCCTTTATTAATTGTACCGAAAAAAGCAGATCAAAGCGGAAAGAAAAGATATAGAGTAGTGTTGGATTATTGCTTGTTAAATCGACAGATTAAAGATAACGAGAAAATGCCTTTACCTAACATAACGGAAATTTTAGATTCTTTATCAGGGGCTATATATTTTTCTCATTTGGAGGATACTATCAATTAGAACTAGAGCCGGAAAGTAGACCTTATACGGCATTTACAACCGAACGTGGTCAATTTCAGTTGAAACGGTTAGCGATGGGGATGAAAATTAGTCCTTCAGCATTTTCCAGACTGATGACTGTGGCTATGGCAGGTTTAAATTATGATGCTTGTTTTGTATATTTGGATGATTTAATAGTTTTTGGCAACTCTTTGCAAAACCATAACATAAATTTAATTAAAGTTTTAGAACGGTTAAGGAAAGTTAATTTAAAACTTAATCCATCAAAATGTGAATATTTGAAAAAAGAAATTCTTTATTTAGGTCATGTCATTTCTTCAAACGGTATTTTACCAGATCCAGAAAAGAGTAGAGCTATTTCACAATATCCTATTCCTACAAATGCGGATGAAGTAAAACGTTTTGTAGCTTATGCAAATTATTATAGAAAATTTATTAAAAATTTTGCGGAGATAGCACAACCTCTTAATAACTTATCTCGTAAAGGAACAATTTTTAATGGGGACAAAGATTGTGAAAAATCATTTGAAATTTTAAAGCGAGCATTAATTAATCCACCAATTTTACAGTATCCAGATTTTTCGGAAAATAATGAATTTATATTAAGAACTGATGCAAGTGGTTATGCTTTAGGTGCTATTTTATCAAATTTTAACGACAAACCAGTCGCGTTTGCATCTAGAGTCTTAAATAAAGCAGAACGAAATTATTGTACAATTGAAAAGGAGTTTTTGGCCATTGTTTGGGCTGTTAAGCATTTTAGACCTTATTTGTTTGGAAGGAAATTTAAAATTTTAACTGATCATAGACCTTTAATTTATTTATTTAATATGACTAATCCGTCTAGCAGATTAACAAAATTTAGGTTAACTTTGGAAGAGTATGATTTTTGAGTATGAACTTAAGGAAATGAATGGTAGTATAAATGAAAAGGTGAATGTAATTACAAGAGCTCAGTCAAAAAAGGCAACTTGTGCAAATCGGTGCATTTCTGACGTGTCCAGTAGCAAAAGGCTTGATCACCCTGTTGTGGAAGTGCTTAAACGTACCGATGAGACAGTTGAATTACGTCCACTGACAGATACAAATTTTAAAAAATCTAGAAATTTAATACATCGTTCCAATTCGCACTTTAAAAATATTATATATGTCATAGATGCGCAAATAATATATCTTAACCAGAACCACCGATCAGTGTATGACTTAGGTACGTCATTGAGGGAACTGGAAAAACTATGCAAAGAAAATAATATTCCGGAATTATATTGCATAAAAAATGGAAAAAGTAGCGAATTTTTAAAAACTCTTGTTCAGGCTAAAGAACAAATTAAAAAATTATCTATAAAAATAAATGTCATAAAAGACGTGGAACGAATAGAAAATAAAGAGTTACAGAAAATTATTATTAACGATTTTCATGTTTTACCGACTGGAGGTCACGCAGGCATACAATGTTTATTTAAAAATATTAGAAAATATTATTTTTGGCCTAATCTTAGAAAAGTTGTCAAAAAATTTGTTAAAAAATGTGACGATTGTCAAAAACATAAACATATTAAAAACAAAAAAGAACCATTAAAAATAACAACAACGGCTACTTCAGCATTTCAGAAAATATTTTTAGATTTAGTAGGTCCTTTACCGGTTGATATACAAAACAATAGATACATTTTAACTATACAATGCGATTTAACTAAATTTGTAGAAGCTTAGCCTTTGTACGATAAAGAAACCGTAACGGTTGCAAAATCTTTCGTAAATATTTTCATTTTACGCTATGGTATCCCGGAAGAGATTGTTACAGATCAAGGTTCTGAATTTATTTCTAATATTTTTAGAGAAACATGTAAGCTACTCGATATTAATCAATTAAATTCTACAGCCTATCATCATGAAACACTCGGTGCACTAGAAAATTCACATAAACATTTGAGTGCATATCTCCGTATCAGATTAGCAAATTCAAGTCAAAATAATTGAACAGATTGGATTTCATATTGGTGTTTTTCATATAATCATATATATATATATAGCGCGATATGCTAATTAGGGTTAACCGAATTCAATTACTATTAAGATTTACACAAGAACAGATTGTACTAGTTATTAGAAATAAAGTTGTTTTTTTATATAGTCTTAGAGTTTCCTTCAAAGTATGTAATAGCGAACCCAAATAAGAACATTACAATTTTACTTTGAGAAAACTTGGAAAGGTGCAGATAAATTCGATACTAGAAGAAAATATTTTATGATTTTCCTACAGTTCATAGCAAATAAACTTTTAGTCATGTGATTAAGCTTGACCGAGACAGCGTTGCCAACTTTTATATATTTTCTTTTAATCAAAATATTTTAGGAAACAAAAATAAATTAATTACAAATATATAAACAGTTATTATTATTATTACCAAAACTCTAATAATGTTGAGATGAGTTTTTTTTACCGCTATTGAGCTATCTTGTACACTTCCCACTAAAAAAGGTTCTAAAAAGAACAATGTTCGACTGCAAGGTCTACTAATAAACATTTTCAAGTTTAAAGTATCACAACACTATTTATTTAAACCAAAAACTCGTAATACAAAACTGAAGTGTCAAAACGAATGACAATGTTACGAAATAAATAAATAAATGCGGCAACTTGACATTTTTTACAGCAGAACTACCACCTGAATCCCCACCGCGAAATTTAAATTCCAGTTAGTTAGTACCGTGCCGAATATATCCAAGATTGGCAACAATGAACTTAAAAATCGCGCCATCGATTACGTAACTAAAAGTTTAATTGATATGAAATACACTTATATTCTGTCCAACGGAAGAATCCTTGACAGTGACACTTGTGTCTTTCATTTTAATTCACAAACAATTTATATATAATTACTGTAATTTTTTGGATTTCGTCTGTCAAAATCTTCTCTAAATCGTTGGATGGAGTATGTATGACAACATTATATATTTACTTTCGGAGGAGGTTGTCCTAGAAAATGAGAGACAAATTCGCATTTGTTGTTTTCCAAAGCCACTGTGTCGACAACGTCTTGAGTGAATTGAGGAGCAGTCACGGCAGATCTTTGTAGAGTAACCGTTATTGCTTCGGAGACTTCAGAAAGATCAGAGTATCCCACTGCATTCTCTGCGCTCACTCTGAATTGATACCTCCATCTGAAAAAAAAATTTAACCAACAGAAAACAGTAACTTTATTCACGTAGCAACTATCACGTTTACTATTTCTGAGATCGGTTTGGTTATATATTGAAATTTTTAAAGAAATTCTGGCAGTGAGTTCTACTGTTCAATCCCAATAAATAACAAACATGAATATCGAATCTTTTGAAGTTTCAAAATACGATCAAATTTTGTCGCACGTCCCCCAGAATGGAAGGGCATAACGAAGATGCTACTCAAAAAGGGCATAAAAAACTATTCTAGAAGTTGATAAGTAAAGTTCCTTAGAAACTGGTCTTATTGCAAAACAGGCAGCGCTTAGTTTCTTTGATAAAGCTTCGAGTAAAATATTTTTTGGATTTGGCCCTTTATAAATCATGCAAGATCTGTATAAAACTTTTTTTCATAACTTCGACAGCAACGACAATATTCCGTGAAAATAGAACTAATACGAATTTTTGGAATCAAAATAAGTTCATTGGACACTATTTACCTCTATACAAAACTCTTTCGTTTGTCCGTTAGAGGGCTGTAAACTTAAATAAATAAACATATTCTTTAAGATTTTTTAAGAACTGTTATTCCGATTTGAATGAGATTTGAGATGCCTATGTTTTGCTAAGGGCTTTAACATTTGACTTTTACAAAAATCGAAAAAAAATTGGTAGAAATATTTTCCACAACTCCACCAACGTTTTTTTTTCGTAAATTGGTACTTCTAGTATTCACTACATTTTTTGTCTCTTGTAAGAAAACGCCACCGCGCATACTTTTTGAAGAAAAAAAGAATTTTCCAAAGCTCACTTCTAAAAAATGTTTCTTGTCACATCAGCTATCAGTGGCGCAACTAAACACAGACTTTTAGGGGTTCAAGTCTTCTGAGGGGGCTTAGGTGATTTATAAGATAATATTGATTTGACAGATATACGATAAATAAATTGATTTGAGGTTTGGTTTGGTAAGCAACCAAACCAACTCTGTAAGCTACGAGTAAAGAATCGTAAGTCCAAAAATCATCGGTAACAAAAAGAAGTCTCTCTCATTTTACGCAACTGAAAGGTCTTACCATACATGCTAAAAACTCACTACAGTTTTTTTTTTATGCAAACATAGTGTTACGGTTATATATTTTAAAGGGGAGTTAATTTTCTTATATTTATTTTAATCATACATCTTGACAAAATGGTGAATGTGGTGATTTACTATTTTTATTTATAACCTTGAAGATGACACGTTAATAAAACATAACAATACATTTCTTAATACATATTAATTATTTATTTATTTTCTATTTACAAGTAAAGTAAATGTGCGTTAACTTTAAATCACAATTTAACTTCATATTGTTGTATTTTTAGCCAAAAGTAATATTTTGTAAATAATATCTCTGATCTTGGGGTATTATTCTTCAGGTTATGGAAGGGTAAATGCATCGTGTAAAGACTTCTTATTTATCTAAAATAACGTTAATTAAAGTAATATTAATAATAACCACTTTATATACTCACTTTTGGTATTTTGTTTACTTCTGTTCAAGCGGAAATATTCATTGCATTTTGTTAGCTGTTTGGTTGCTACAAAGGGAAATAAATCATATTATATTAATTATATTATAAGAAACGATGTACATACCTTTTTAATAACAATAATACCTTCAATAATTATTATTAATAAATAATCTGATTGTGATTTTTGTTAAGATTAATTAATTTGTGGTTAAAGCAAACGACAAATCGTCAACGCGTCTAACGGTGTTGCCATCTTCTTGAAGTTTTCTTAAATCATATTTCACTTCATTCATATTTAGTCTCTAAATAATTAATTTTAGCATTTACCTTATTTCAATACTTTTATTTATTAATGATCTTAAACCATTATCAAGTGTATCTAATTGTAATTGCATTTAACTTATTATCATTGTTTGATTTATTATTAATTTTCTTTTATTATCGGATTAATCCTGGCAACATTGGTACTTAACTGGTTGAGGAAGTACTTGGGGATTTTATGGCTAAATTTATGTCATGAGGGGGTTTCGAGATTAAAATCCCAAGCGCCCACCTGTCTGGTGATTTCCTTTCTTTTTTTTCGGCACGCTGGCAATGAAGTTACGTATTGAGTTGAAAAATCCTTTCATTTGATTTTGGGAAAGGTTAATAATTCTCTCACGATTAATTGATATTAGTTATATCATACAGCTACGGCTGGATTGAGACGAAACTAATAGCGTTGCATCTTTTGTATTATTTCCAAGGAAATCGCCCACAGTAGTTGGGCACCTTGGTTTGGTTTTTCTTTTGCACACCGACTTGGTTCCACGAGGGTTTTCATGACTGGCTAGCGAGGTTCCTGTTCAAACCTTAGACGTTCAAACCAACTGATAAGCTAAGGGGAAGCCACGTGGTTGGGCCTTTTGTTTGTGCGGCAGATCCTAGATTAGGGGATTTTTGGGACACTTACGACTAAAAGCTAAGTACCAAACTTTTATTAGCTAACTCGTTCCTGCGTACTTAAAATAAAGATTGTTGTACCTATTTTTTTATTGCTTCTGCGTTATAATTAGTTTTAACTAGTAATTATCATTTAGTTCGTAATTATAAGTAAGTCATTTAGTGGGTACCCCGTTTTTCTTTCGTATTAAATTTAAGTAGAGTAGGTAATCTTTTAGTTGTAGCAGCCATAACAATGTGGGGAATCTTATTTGGTCGTAGCTCTACCTGGAGAGTCAGTTTTTTATTTAAATCTTTTTTTGCGCCTTGCATATTTGAATTCGATTCTCATTTTACTCTCGCTACTGTACGCTGAAACAACTATTCTTATTGTATTCATTTTATTATCCTGTGGCCATAAAGTGTAAAACTGTACTTTTAAAAGTTAGTAGAAAGGCTTGATAGGTAAGATTGTACCATATGTATAAAATTTTCCCCCTGCTAAGTAAATGTATAGTATTTTAGATACCAAGAATAAAGAATTTTCGGAGTGTTTTTCGAAGAGTTTTCTTTGACTTGAGCGAACCCCTAACCCCTTATAAGAGTTTTGTTACATCTTGGCTACCCAACTACGGCCGAGTCTAAGAATGGCAGTTCGACGAACACCTCCTGCTGATAACAGTCGAAATTCACCACCCTTAACACGTCTGGGGGCGAGAAGAATGAACGAGGAGCTACAAACAACTCCCACATTTTCCCAGCGAAACGAGAGCGTCATTCCAGAACAGACTTCAAGTGGAAGACAACCTACTGGAGCTGTCCGGCGTAGGAATATTCCAGAAAATGAGCGCATTCCTCTTTCGAATGCATCCAGAGGTTTGCCACGCTATCCTACACAGAAATCACCAATATATACATCGGGCATGGATTTTCAAGGTAGGAACATTCCATATTTTTTGGGTGAACAAGTAAAAGTTCCTGATTCTACAAGAATTGCACAACAAACTAATCAACACCCACGCCAACCACCACCGCCATATGATAATAGGGACTTTAATAACTTAGATAGTTTTATAAGAAATATTGTAAATCAATCTATAACAGATACCTTTAAAAATAACAATCAACAAACTTTACCTTTTCAAATTGATAACATTAGCGAATATAATAGAATTTTAGCAAACATAGATAATATGCTTCCAGAATTTCATGGTAATAATACGTTACACCCTATAGATTTTCTAGAAAAAATTAAGTTTTTATTACAGAGAAATAATACCTCATTTCTAGAAATAAAATTTTTATTGGCAAAAAAATTACAGGGTAGAGCTAAAGCGTGGAGTGAGGCATATCTTAAATCATTTCTTACTTTTACAGAATTTGAGGAAGCATATTTAAGATATTTTTGGAGCGAAACTAAACAACTAGAAATAAAATTAAAAATTTGGCAAGGAAAGTATGAAACTGGCTCTCTAGTAGACCATTTTACAAAATACGTAGCTATGGCACAATATCTCAGACCACCCCTGTCTGAGTTTGAATTAATTCAATGTATAGCCCGCCATTTTCCGGTAAATATATTTAGCGCTATAATAGGGCTAAAGAAATTGTCAGAAGTAATCCCAATACTGCAACAAGCGGAATATTATAATCATAGAACGGTAGACAGATCAAATTTTGGGTCGCGTTATGAAAAGGATAGGTTGGGACCCGAAAGAAAAAATTATGCAAATCGAAACGTATCCGCGGTGGATTTAGTGGACGATTTAGGGGTAGCGAATTTGGAAATATCGGGAAACGAGCCGAGCCACAGTCTTTAGGGCCGGAGACAACTGACAGTGGCAAAATGGCCGTAATACTAAATAAAAATATGGAAGAAGAGCCATGGGGCTCTGACTGTGAGTTTGACCATCTTAACATTGAAAATAAAAAATCACCAGTTATTACTGTTTCAATTTTTAATTTTTCTTTTCCAGCACTAATTGACAGCGGCTCAGAAATATCCTGCATATCCGGTGACGTTTACGCTCAATTGGGAGATTTTCAAGAGAAAATTCCTAGTTTTCCGGTAACGGGGATTCGTATTACAGGGGCGTTTAAAACAAAACAACGTAAAATAGCGAAACAATTGTTTCTTGATTTTAAAATAGCTAATAACTATTTTAGTTATGAATTTTTATTAATTAGTGATTTAGTTTTTCCGATAATTTTAGGTATTGATTTTTTATTTTCAGTGAAAAGTAAAATAAACTTAGAAAATGATACAATAACATTATTAAATTCTAATAAAGAGTTTTTTACAGTCTCAACAATTAATACGATTCATTTTTATATTCCTCCGAGCGACATTAAAAAAACTAGAACGATAGCCTTAAAAAAAGAATATTCCTTAAATACTTTAAATACTGATCGAAATGGTTTTAATACAGAATTTATAAACGAAAATAAATCTTTAACATTTGAACAAAAAAATCAGTTTAAGTATCTTCTCTTGAAATATAAAAATATATTTTCTGATATACCGGGGCGAACCGAATTGTACTATCACAAAATTAAATTGATTAATG